TTCGCCTCCTCTCCCGGTGCTAAGCCTCTCGCGCGTCTATCTTGATTGAGAGGGAGCGCTGGTATTCTCCCTCTTCGTCTTGCTGCATCGTTCTTCGTCTTCCTCTCTCCCGTGAATGCGAAACCGGGAAAGAGAAAGAGAGAGAGAAAGCGGACTAACCATGCCTACCGTGAACCCGACGAGGACGCCGCGAGAGAGAGGTTGTCATTGATCGTCCCGACTGCGGCTTGCGAGCCGCTAAAGGTCCCGTACAAGCACGGGCCCGCCGGCGTGTAGCCGTAGCTGTATATGTGCGTATACATGCGTAACCGCGCTCTGTCCGTCCTTCTCCCATGCGTGCGGCGGCGGAAATCTTTTTTTTCTTACGCTGCTCGAATTGCAGCGTTATTAGGTTGACTGTGGCGATCAGATATGTAGCGTACGGTCGGTTGATCTTTGATAAGAATGTGAGAAACACGATAATCTCGCATACATATATCCTTCGTGGATTCTGCAGCACGAGCTGCATAAAAAAAATAATATATTCGTAGATACCATCGCTCGTGTTAAAAAACAGAAAATTTTGATTATTTTTGAATAGAAATGATGAAAGGCTTATGTTTCGCATAGAATACGAACGCGCGTAAAAATATAAGACTGTCTTTTCGTGATACATTTAATGTTGAATCCGATTTTCCATTCTTTTTCCGCGATAAAAAGATCCCATCTGATGGAATACTCAAATCGCTAAACGCGCGCGACGACACTGCTGACAACGGTATTTTCCGAGATAATTGCGAGCGCCCGGTGCACGGCTGAAAGTTTTTAATCAATGGGGCAAGGGAACTGGGACATCCGGCGGAATAGGTTGGCGACGGCGGACAAGGAAAAAGACGGGCCGCGCGCGCGCGGAGGTTAACCAAGGCGATAATTCGTCGCTCCGATTTCGGAGGTTTGGCTCGGTTAACCGAAACCGTGGTTCCGAGGGCGTGCGCCGCGACCCTTAGCCAATAAAACAGTTGACCTCCTCCGCTGAAGGAGTGTAGCAAGGCGGAACGGGCAAAACGACGACGCGATCCCGGGGTCCTCTGCATTTTTGGCGAACGCTACGAATTCTTCGCTAATGGTTCCTCCTTCTCCGTCCTTTGTTCACGCTCTTTCTCTCCGTTCGAGACGGTTTCGGGCAGCTGCGAATAGGCTGCATCGACGAGGTCGCATAAATAAATTGCGATCGATCGTCAACCCGTCGGTGTGCCGCGTGATATTTTATAAAAGAAGAATCATTATCGGGAAACTCTTATATATATATATATACATACGGGGAAAAAGTTTACTTGATCCCTACAACGAAATTCACTTCTCCGTATTATAACGTTCACGGTATCGTTCACTTTTCGCCAATTTTAATCAGTGTATTCTATAAGCTCGGTGCTTATCCATTGAAAGCTTTCATTATGAAAAGACTACCCCTTTCTCTTAGATATTCATTTCTATAATCTCCAAATATTAATGTTAGAACTTGGTTAGGACTTTAAGTGATATCAATATTGTGTCTTATAAATTACACATTATTCAATTTCGCGAATATCGGCGTCGGAATGAAGACAAAAAAGTAAAGAGAACGTTCGCTAGTCGCTCTTCG